TCCACTGTGCTGGCTTAAGTCTAGGAGTGTGTTTGTGTCTAACTTCCCATACCTTCCCTCTGAAGACCGTGTCAGAATATAGGGACACCTATACCACAGAGGATTTGAATGTGACATTGTAAATTAATTGTGTCCACGTGTAAGCATAATGCATCTTGGGAGTATCAGGCACTGCAGTTACAGAACAACCCAGCGATTATTCTAAAAAAAGCCAGAGTATATTCAAGATAGGTCCGAGGGAAAAAAGAGTTTCCTTGCACTGCCAATCCCTAACACTCCCCCAAACCTCAGCCCTATAATTTGATTGTACATCTCCCCTTTAACTATAGGCATCCTTAGGAGGGTCATATAAAATTAAATTGCAGAGCACTGAAGAGTAGGGGTAGGATTAGAGTTAGGGTTAGGGGATGGAGGAACTCTTAACGGTCGTCACACTTTGTAGAATAATGAATGTGAGTGCAACTTCGTTCAAAATTTTGAGATTCTGAGACTCAAACCCTGTTTCAGCCAAGTAGTAGTGTGGTCGTTTTACTGACTATGCATAGTTGGTCATTGATGAAGAAATGCACTGAGTGACCTGTGATAAATAAGAGCATGTATCAGGTGTTATGTCATTCACATCTGGTTATTTTTGTACCACTTGCCACTCTATTGTTAATCTACAAATCCATAAAGTTTATTGAGGATAATATGTAAACGAGATAATTCAAAGTAGGTGGTTGGGAATAGTTCTAAATAAGATGGGCTAAATATCTTTTTTTGTGTTGTGTCGTTTAAATTAAAGACCTCCTCAAACTTTCTGACTTTAGAATAATCTAGGGCCTGCATCCCTCTGTGATACTGGGCCAGAAACTCCCTGTGGTTTGGAGTTCTCCATTACTTTTTACCCAGATCAGATGCTCTGTCAACATGCCAGATATTCAGTTCTGGATATGTCAAAATACCTGAAAACTATAATTGCCATCTTTGAATGGATGACAAACATATTGTATAGGTGCATGTATGCCATGATGTACTGTATAATATATGCTAAAAGCATGTCTAAAACAAAATTTGTGCAAAACCAAATGGCCACCAGTCTATTTCGAGTCATATTTACAAATCAAAATGGTGTGCATCCACTTCACAAAATGGTTAATCAACAAAAAGTTCAGTAAATCAGCCAACACATACGAGAGATCTGGTTATGGACATGTCAAAATACCCGGTTTTAGTTTTAATTTTACAACAAAATGGCCGACAAGTTGGCCATCTTTGACCAAATGCATGTATGCATGCATGCATGCATGCATACATACACACACAGGCTAAACCATCAGTCCTCGTTTCATCCAAACAGATACTAAAACAGTAATTATA